AAGTTACAATATATTAGATAGTACAATAGTTACACCAAAACAAACCATTAAGAATAACAAACAGTTAATCAAATATGTACAAAAATGGTTGCACCACATAGTTAACTATATGAAAAAAAAAAACTAACATCTAACAGGTACCTAAAGAGTTGAACCATGTAGTTAAAATGTTAAACCAAAAACAGTTAAACAACACAGTGCTGAAACAGTTACATAAGCATAAGCACCAAATAGATGCACCTTAATAGGTAACTAACTATACAGAAACAATTATATCAATCAGGTATAATATAGTTACACACTATAGGGATCACAAAATTATGCAACAAATTCCCATAGAGTTACAACAACAAAAGGTATGAATATTAAACAAAGAAAATACATTATAACATTTAATTTTATATATACCTTGTGATGACCCATGTCAACTGTGTCTTGCATGCGTCTTTTCAATGCTTCATTCTCATTAGACAACTCGTCAATCTTTTTTTGGTTGAATTTATCATTTATCATCAACTCGGAAACAATTATTTGAGCTTCATCTATCTATCTATCTCTCTCTCTCTCTTATAATNATCAATCTTTTTTTGGTTGAATTTATCATTTATCATCAACTCAGAAACAATTATTTGAGCTTCATCTATCTATCTATCTCTCTCTCTCTCTTATAATGTTGTCCTTTTCACCGTCATTCCAAACATCATGTTNATCAAATATGTACAAAAATGGTTGCACCACATAGTTAACTATATGAAAAAAAAAAACTAACATCTAACAGGTACCTAAAGAGTTGAACCATATAGTTAACATGTTAAACCAAAAACAGTTAAACAACACAGTGCTGAAACAGTTACATAAGCATAAGCACCAAATAGATGCACCTTAATAGGTAACTAACTATATAGAAACAATTATATCAATCAGGTATAATATAGTTACACACTATAGGGATCACAAAATTATGCAACAAATTCCCATAGAGTTACAACAACAAAAGGTATGAATATTAAACAAAGAAAATACATTATAACATTTAATTTTATATATACCTTGTGATGACCCATGTCAACTGTGTCTTGCATGCGTCTTTTCAATGCTTCATTCTCATTAGACAACTCGTCAATCTTTTTTTGGTTGAATTTATCATTTATCATCAACTCGGAAACAATTATTTGAGCTTCATCTATCTATCTATCTCTCTCTCTCTCTTATAATATTGTCCTTTTCACCGTCATTCCAAACATCATGTTCTATTGATTGTCTTTTTGTTGGTTGGGTAACATTAACTTCAACTAAGTCAACAAATTGTCTCATTTCATTTGACCATTCATCATCACCACTTGATGGCTTGACAACACCATTTTCTTCCATCGTAAGTTGTTCATTGTCATCTAACTCCTTCTCCATTGCTTTTTTCACTTTTTTTCCTGCCTTCTTTTTTGATGAGATAAACATTCTTTCTTCCTTAGTTCTCTTTAATCTTTGCTTCATAATCTGAGAATAAAATAAATTTAATTAACAAACAGAGACATAGTAACCTTTTTAAAAAAAGTTACAAGTTATAGGGATTACAANCTTTAATCTTTGCTTCATAATCTGAGAATAAAATAAATTTAATTAACAAACAGAGACATAGTAACCTTTTTCAAAAAAGTTACAAGTTATAGGGATTACAATATAAGAAGTGAGAGTTATCTCATTTGCCATGATGTTTGCCAAACTTTTTTGCTTGATGGCCCTATTCAGACTTGGTAAGTTCCATTTGAGGAATCGAGAAAATGGTCTCTCAATGCTAGGAGTTATCATACAGGTGTGTTCACACAACCAGTACTGCAATATAAAAGATTACGATAATCATATCATATTGAGTTATGTCAAAGTAATTTAAATTCTCAAATTAATATATTATTTTTATTAAAACACTTACCGGTATTAGGATGACACATCCATTGATAGCCGTTGGAGTTTTCTTCTTCTTCTTCAAGGNTTATTTTTATTAAAACACTTACCGGTATTAGGATGACACATCCATTGATAGCCGTTGGAGTTTTCTTCTTCTTCTTCAAGGATGAAAGCAGAGTATCAGTTATAACTTTGGACCAATTGTATTTTCTACATGCAACTCCAACTCATTGTGTTTCCCGTTACTGGGAAAAAAAGTGTTGCTAACAGATACATACATAATAATCTAGTCAGGTCATCATAACCAGTCTCACTGTTCAATTCAGACGCTTGTTTCAGCTTATTTCTTATCAATATTATTGTCAACCTCCGATCCTTTTTGAACCAGCGTTCAGTAAAGGGTGTAAATGATTTTTCATGTATTGTACAATCAATCTTTTCACACCCATCTTGTATCCCAAATATTAGAGTAATATCATTAGGCTGTAACCTCAATTTTTTGCTACTGATATTGAATCTTGAAGTATCAGAATTAAAATATAATAGTATTTCAAGAATGCAGTTGTCACTTTTACGACATCATGTTTTGTCCGTAGTTTGGTTAATTATACATTCAAAAAGCGACCTGAATGGAGTCTTTTGCAATGTTGTCATGTGATAGTCATTTAACTGAAGTTCTTTAATTGCCCTGATAATTTCAAGTATATTTGATATGTATTGAGGCTTGTATTTTGCACCAATGATGTATAATTCACTTTAATTGTCATTTATATCATCATTTGTTTTTGTTGCTTGTGACTCATGATATGGAATTTCTTTTTTACCCCTTATAGCAGGTCTTTTTTTTTTTAAGATTGTTTTTTCGTCATGACCTGTTTAATGCATCGACAACGTTAGGGTATCATACAGTAATATATGGTGTTATCTATATTACTCTAACCATTGGNAAATGCTTTAACTTTTGTGATTACGTTACTCAATCGTTAATTACAAACCAACAATTTCACCAAAATAATTCTAAATCGCCCTTTATTTTTTTTGTTTTTTTCCAAAATCAAACAACACAAATTGTGAAAAAAAAAAATAATGAATGACAAAAAAAACGAAACATGGATGTCATCTGTTTTTTCCGGTGAATAATTTACTGGAGAAGATATACAGTTACTTGACTATAGACGACGATGAACCGATTGTAGAAGACGATGAACAATAACTATTTGTTCCTTTTTTTTTTTGGATGATGAACAATCAAAGTTCTGGCATTCCCATGGACACAGAATCCCCTAGCTGAAGAAGATGGATTTTGATAATAAAATCCCCTATTTTACCTTCCTTGATTTTAGTAAAAAAAACGGATGGAAGATACCGGTTTTCATATATCTGCTGTGTTACCGATGACAATAATGGTATTTTTAAAAAATATGCACTTTACCCCAAATAAGTTTTTGAGTTGTACTTTTACCTAAATAAGTTTAAAAAATTGTACCGTCTTCTAAATTGCCCTATATTTTTTTTGTCCCATTAATGAGTAAGACTGTAAGACACACGTTTATATCAAATAAATCTTACTTGAATTTAAAATAGGTGATTTATCAAGAATAAAAATTGACAAAAAATGTATAAAATTATGCGTCACTCCCAATTATCATTATTTTGAACTATATTGAATCATAATTCTAAAAATTATTATTTTGTGGGCGTTTTTATAACTTTTGTGAGTATTTTTACAACAAAAAAATTTACTATTTTTATAGATATTTTTACTATTTTTGTGGGTATTTTTACCATTGTTACGATAACTATTTTTAAAACCTTTTTTTATACAAAAAAATTATTCATTTTTGTGGGTGTTTTTATCACTTTTGTGAGTGTTTTCACAACTATTACGGTAACTATCTTTAATATTTTTCTTTGGTACCACAACAGTAATAAAAATATTCACTACAGTAATAAAAATTTTCACAAAAATAATAAATATCAATGCTATACCCATTGTTTTTTAAATACCCTATACAAGTCCTCAATTGTAACTTATCATTTATTTTGATTAATGTAACTACATCACCGTTCAAACGAGACCACGTTACAAGTCAAAACTATCAATCACTTATCTTTATCAAACCCTGATTTGAGCAGAAACAACGATCAGGGGATGCAGCTCGACCTGAGATGCAGAGAGAAACATATCTACCCAAGGAATCCATTCAAACCCACCACTAGATTACTTGGTAGTCTTAGTCATAGTGGCTTACAAACTTTGTCAACAAAAACTCTGGCATTACTATTTGTCAAACAAAAAGTACAATAAAATAAAATACTTATAGAGGACCACAGTCCTATCCAAATGGTTTAAATTTTCTGTCGTAGAGTGACATGTAAAGTAAAAAATCGTTGTTATAAAAAAAAAAAAAATAAGAGTTAATTACAGCGAAGCTTCTCAAAATATAGAATTTATCTAATTTTAATCTAAAATATTTCAATTGTATCATTTTGATCCACGAAATATTGAATATGTTTCTATGTAATCCCTTAAACATACTACATCTAGATTGTTAACGATTTTTTTATAATAAACTTGTCACGTGATACTTAAATATGGACAAAAAATAATTTGAATAATTTTTGACAAAAAATGTATAAGATACATAATTTTTGACCAAAAATGTGTAATGGGTAGCTCTTGACTCAAATTTAGGTAGCTCATGATCAACACTATAAAATTTAAGAAGTTCTTTGACTATAATTTGAATAAAATTTGGTCCAGAATTATCTAAATTATTTTTTTATCCATATTTTGGTATTATATTACAAGTTTATGATTAAAAATTACAAACAATCTAGATGTTTTCTACTTAAGATACCACATATAAATATATTCAATATTTCAAGAACCAATCACACTTTGGGGACCTCCAATATAATTAACCAAAAAAAACTAAANTACCACATATAAATATATTCAATATTTCAAGAACCAATCACACTTTGGGGACCTCCAATATAATTAACCAAAAAAAACTAAACGCACGGTACTTGAAAATAAAAATACTTCAAATAGAAAGAAAAACAGTTATCAAATGATACCTTCATCTCTTCTATCGAATAATGTTATATGAAAAATATTACACAACCTATATAGAATCTAAAAATTGTAAGCCAAATACATATTATCTTGCGTTGGATGAGGAGGTCCCACTGAAAAAGTTGATGAGACCCACTCATTTAAAGAATGATATGCATTTGGATTGTCTAACCATTACTCATGTTATATAAGTCAGTTGGCTTAATGGGAGAAGAAAGCAGAGCAAATATACAAAATGTATTGTAATTTAGACCAGAACAGTTCTGCCAACAGAGGCATTGTGTACCTGATTTATTTCAATAACAACACTTTCTTCTTTTTAGGCAAAGAACAAAAGTTAACAGATTTATTTCAATTTCACCATTGGAGTAAACTTCACAGCGAAGAAGAAGAATTTGCAGGAACAAACTTCAGTGAGATACTATTGACACAATGGCGTTCATCCGTGGGTGTACGAAACCCTTCACCTTTGAATACATGGCCTAGATGTCCACCACAAGCAGCGCATGTAATTTCTGTCCTCCTTCCATCAGGGTCCGGCTGAGAGTTGAAGATAATGTTTTAACTTGTAGGTGCAAAAACTATAGTAATACAATGTCACACTAGCTAGCATGCATTAGGAACAAGCACAATAGAAAAGGAAAAGCAAGCTCACATTTCGATTTATCGCCCCAGGGATACCCTCGTAGAAAGCTGGCCAACCACAACCCGAGTTAAATTTGGTTGTCGACTTGTAGAGAGGAGTTCCACATCCTGCACAACTGTAGACTCCATCATCAAAGAACTTATCATATTCCCCTGTACCTGGGTACCTGCACATGATCCAAATATAACATAAATATTTAAGAATAGGCGCACTTCAGCTATTCAAGAAAGATTCATTCAAAAGTATCATTGGCTCAAAGCATATCACATCTTACAAACACAAAAATCAGACACAATTCAAACCCAAGAACACTGGATGCCTACTTTTGATTTAGTTTCGTTTCGTTCTCAGCAATCAAACAGCGCTTTAGAGGATCAGAACTAGAAAATCACTATATTCGCCAGCCAAAGAGAACAAAAAATTACTAGCTGAACTGTTACAAGTGGATGATGAAAGGTACACTCTTTCCAAATGGGACACAATCAAGCCAGCAGTATTTATTTTCTCCTTTGTTAGGTCAATAAAAGGCTTCACATATATAGCACTGTCTAGTTTGTCAAATAAATATTAATTTGCTGACCTGTCTGATTTCAGCAAGTGATAAAATATTAAAAAAATGAGCAATGCTATGTCGACCTAAATTACTGACCTGACTTGCTATCAGAATCAATCATTGTCGGTGATTTATCTGCAGGTCATAGTATTTGTTAGGGCCCACTACCAATTCAACAGTTGTGATTGATTAAGTCAATAAATCATTTTAGGTCCAAATAGAAGTTTCCTATAAAAAATTCAAACAAAAATATTCAAATCCGATTCTAGCCCACTGACTTTGGCATACAGCCCTCAAATGACAAGAGGAGGGAAGAAATCTCAGTGGATCTAGTATAGTTCAGAACTTCAATATGAAATTGTCATTATCTAACAGACACTAACAAATTGAAAATGTAGAATTGTTCTTTCAAGGACAAAATTACATTCCTTTGCCTACTAAAAACCATGAGATCTATTGCTTCAAGCTTCAAATAATAATAATATAGTAGCCTCTGTTGTGCAAGCCATCAGATTCCTCAATCACGATCAAATTAAGAAAATAAGATATAACTCTTTGTTAAACAACAAGAATCATCACTACCACCACCACCACAACTAAAGGGTGTAACCAGTGCACAAAGATCTCACTCGCAAAAGGGTGTTAGATGTAACTGTGTTTCTGCGACTCAAACCGGTAGCCTCCAAGTCATAATGTAGAAACCTTACCGTTGCACGTCACCTACCACCACCACCGCCACAAGTACAACAATAAAATCAATTGACCACTATAAAAAAAAATAAAGAAATTCATATTGACACATTTTTCTAGAGTAAACCCCAAATCCAACAAACCAATGAAAAAAATGGATCAAATTGTAGCATTTTGTTAAAACAACAACAAATCACAATTGACCACTATAAAAATCAAGAAATTCATATTCACACATGTTTTTCCAGAGAGTAAACCCCAAACCCAACAAACAAAGGGAAAACATGGATCTAATTATATCATTTCAATCAAAATGCTCTGCCACTAAACAAATCAAAGCTCAACATGAACAATTAAATATAAATTAAAATGTATTTCAAAATTAAAAAATTCTGCAAATTAGTATCCAATATTTGACATTTAAATAGGATATAAAGATATGAATAAACAAACTCTGTTCCTTTCTGCCTCAGAATGCGGAACTGTTCAGGAGAGAGAATAGCGCGCCAGTCCTCCTCCGATTTCTGAGTAGACCCAGGTGCCGCCATGGCCACAACAACCCCACCTCTGAAGTTTCTCTTTCTCTGATGAACCAACCCACCAAACCCAACTGATAATTTGAACTGATTGATGGGTTTCGATGAAGGTGGATAGAAATTGGTCTTGTGGGTGTTAATGGGGATTGAGTAGTTTGACTGTGCTCGGAAACGCGAGATTGGAGCAGGGTTGAAAACTAGAGTTCTAGGAGAAACAAATGGTGAGAATTTGAGAATCTGAAAGCCCATCTGGGGGGGGGGGGGGGGAAGAGGACTTTTGGAATAGTTTAATTTGCAAGGGCCAGTTCAATCATCATCAGAGATGATAATGTTCAACCACATGGCTCAGTACTCTCACCGACTCATCTTTTCTGGAGATTCTTTGGACCTCTCGTCTGTGATGTGTAACTAGCTTACAGATATAGATGTGATTGAAACACCAAGATAGGTCAAGAGTTAATATGAGTTGTAAATTGAAATATAATTATAGGATTTTGAAATATGATTATCGAAGATTTGTGTAATGTTTGAGTTGTGTTTCTCATCATTTAGTATAGGTTTAAGTTAAGGGTGGTGTTTGATATAATTAAAAATTGAAATCTGAAAGTTGAATATTGAATTTGTAAACTATTTGATATTCACTAAAATTTAAATATTGAATTGATCTAAACTGTTCGATAACTACACAAAGTTGACATTTGAAAATAAATTAATTTTTAATTTTACCTTTTTTACTATTTAATTTGAAAATATTTANATCACTAAAATTTAAATATTGAATTGACCTAAACTGTTCGATAACTACACAGAGCTGACATCTGAAAATAAATTAATTTTTAATTTTACCTTTTTTACTATTTAATTTGAAAATATTTATATAATATGTAATAACATAAATCATAATCACTATTTTTATATTTTACTCTACATTTATCAACTATTTGATCAAAATATATAAATAAATAACATCTGAACAACACAATAAGTGAAGAATAACAAATTAAATAACATAATAAGTGAACAATAACATCTGATAAAAAAAAACAATAACTACTAAGTAATCAAATAAATATTGAAAAAAATACAATAAATNCAAATTAAATAACATAATAAGTGAACAATAACATCTGATAAAAAAAAAAAACAATAACTACTAAGTAATCAAATAAATATTGAAAAAAATACAATAAATTATATTTCATTAACAATATGTGTGTGCAATGCATATGTCTGTGAGTAATTGTGTGTGTGCAGTGCGTGCATTTATGTGTGTAATTATAATTATGTATGTATGTTTTTGTTACAACAGATAAGGAAAAAAAAAAGAGATCGACAAGGAGAATATATAAGTTAGGGATTTTAAAGAGAAGACTAACTAAAATTTTAATAAGATTGTAAAATATTTCAAGGTATAATTGTCATATTATAAATATTATTAAAAATAGTTTTGCTGAGCGTTTTCAGCTTTTAGAATTAAATAATAGATCTCTTACTTAACATTANGAGATCGACAAGGAGAATATATAAGTTAGGGATTTTAAAGAGAAGACTAATTAGAATTTTAATAAGATTGTAAAATATTTCAAGGTATAATTGTCATATTATAAATATTATTAAAAATAATTTTGCTGAGCGTTTTCAGCTTTTAGAATTAAATAATAGATCTCTTACTTAACATTATAACCTATTTTTAAGGAGCACTTAACATATTAAAAGAATTCAAATTTTAGTTATCAAACATGTTTAATTAATAAGTGTTGAATTTAGGTTAACAAACGCACCCTGTAACTTATTTTTAGTTTATTAACTCAAATTTAAATTTAAATAAGGGTTTGAATAAAGAGTAGAGATGACCTTAACTTGAGTTTGAGTTTTTACCTGAGTGTAATGAGGGTCTTTCATAAATAATTATGTAGTGTTGATGGACAATATTCCTTAACACAATTTGTTAATCACGTTGTGTCGAGTTCACTTATTTATAAATCATATGATTTAAAAAAGATTTAAACCCTCTAAATTTTATATCGTAATAATAAATTACATCTCATTTGGACACCTTTATCTGCACCAGCGTTTAATGTGACTAGTCAAGTAACGAATCAGATTTACCACGCAGGATTTAAGCTTAATCCCCTGCCATATAGCAAGCAACACACATCTTATCATGGAGGTTAGTTGGTCGTTCCATTTTTTTGGGATTTGATTTTAATAGATAAAAAAATTGTATTTTTTATTATTTAAAATATTTATATTATTTTTTAAGTGAAATTTATTAATTTTTGGGTGCATTCACCTTTTAAATTTAAATAAATTTTAGTCACGCCTCTTTTAATTTATCATATTTTTAAAGACCTTCCCTTTATTATTAAAAATATCACTACCCTTTTTAATTTATATTTAAATATTACTGATATCCTCTGTCATTAAATCACCATTTGTAACAGAAATAAATTATCTAAAATATCAAAATTATCCGTACATAAACCTCAAACCATTTATATAGTAAAATAGAATTAGTTTCAAACTTTAAACTTATAAAATCGTTTGAACGTTTCAGATCATTTCAAGATTGTTAATCCAACAATCTTAATTTTTTTTCCTACCCAAAAATTAGATTAAGAATTTCGTTTTATTTCCAAGACTAGAATCTCTTCTCTCAAACCTACTAAAGTCTCAAACACACTCAACTCACACAAACAAACACCCATCTAGAGAACCCCTCACTCAATTCACAAACACTAATGCTATTGAGACATAATTGAAGGACATGATTTGAGGACATAATGAATTGTCACAAATAAAATGATAGTGAAATGCATTTAATGATGAGTCTCATTGTAGCATTAATGAATTCATTATCATATCATTGGTGACAATTCATTATGTCATCAAATTATGTTCCAATAGCATTGCTCATTCACAAAACCCTTAACCCCCCCAAAAAAACACATTCACGGCACACACTCAACTCCCACGCCTTACTCTCTCCCTCTCCACATCTTTTCGAGTCTCATTCTACCTCTCTCTCTTTCCATATCTCTTCGAGTCTCATTTTACCTCTATTTCCCTCTATAGTTTCNCAAAAAAACACATTCACGCCACACACTCAACTCCCACGCCTTACTCTCTCTCTCTCCACATCTTTTCGAGTCTCATTCTACCTCTCTCTCTTTCCATATCTCTTCGAGNAAAAAAACACATTCACGGCACACACTCAACTCCCACGCCTTACTCTCTCCCTCTCCACATCTTTTCGAGTCTCATTCTACCTCTCTCTCTTTCCATATCTCTTCGAGTCTCATTTTACCTCTATTTCCCTCTATAGTTTCCCAAACACACACTCAACTCACACACACAAACAGACCCACCTCACAAACCCCCCTTCGCACTCAGCTCACAGAACCCCTCCCCCACACAGAGTCACGCCACACACAAAAACACTCAACTCACATGCCTCCCTCTCTCCATCTCTCTTCGAATTCCATTACACATCTTCTCTCTCTCTTCACAAAACCCTCCCCCCACACACAAACACTAGAGTTTCATTCTACCTCACACTCTCTCAATAGTGTCCCAAATACACACTCAAATCACACACACAAACATACTCAGCTCATATAGACCCATCTCACATCACGATTCTCTCTCTCCAAACACACCCATCTCAAGAACCCCCTCCACTCAACTCACAGAAACAGGGGTGGAGCCAAACATATTTTTCAGTGAGGGCAACTTAAACTATATTAATATTAAAATTTAAAATATTCACAAAAATATAATTTTATTAATAGAACACCAATTAAAGACGCAATTCATATACATGAGCGATATACAAAATGAGTCAAAAAAAAAAAACTCATTATAGATATATCTAAAAGACCTAATAAAAAAATTTTGAACCGTAAAATTGGGCTCAATCATATATTAAATTTTAAGAAAAATTTTCATAACTAATTTAAAAATTAATTTATTCAATCACAAACTTAATATTCATCATTAAATTTTAACAAACAATCGAAACTAACTTAAATTATAATTATTCTAGTAAACTAAACCTAGGTATATGAAATACTTAACTTATCACAATAAAAATGTTCAAACTACCAAATCAAAATAATTTAGTCTAATTATAATGGAGGACTACAAGTCTTAATTTCAATTCTACAAATAAAAATAAAACAAATGAGACGACTATAAGTTCTAATTCCAATTCAACATATACAAATAAAATACTAGGGAGGACTACAAACCCAAATATCAATTAAATATATAAAAAAATAAATCATATAAGAGGATTACAAGCCTCAATTTTATTTCAACATAGAAAAATAAATACAAAACTACAGATCCTAGTTTCAATTCAATACATAAAAAATAAAACATAAGAGTTGATTACAAGCCCCAATTTTATATTTTCAATTCAACATGTAACAAATAAAATACAACAGAGAGCTATAAATGCTAATTTTAATTCAACATTTAAAAAATAAACTACAATAGAGGGCTACAAACCCTAATTTTCAATTTTAACGTATAAACATAAAACAAAAAAGATGATTATAAGCCCTAAATTTAGTTTGATGTATAAACATAAAACAAATGAGAGGGCTAACCTCTTTCGTAACATATTAGTTAATCTTTAAATGTTCAAATTTTTGATATCATCTTTCATTGATATTTATAAGTGAGACTCATATATTTGTCAAAATAATATAACTACCCTTAAATCTTTTAAAAAAAAAATCATTCATTACAAATATCTAATAAATTCTAAATTTTTTAAAATTATACTTAATCCGTAAAAATTNTATAACTACCCTTAAATCTTTTAAAAAAAAAATCATTCGTTACAAATATCTAATAAATTCTAAATTTTTTAAAATTATACTTAATCCGTAAAAATTTTTAAAATTTCAGTGGGCAACTGCCCGCTGAATCCGCCCCAGCACAGAAACCCACTTCCCACAGAGTCACACCACACACAAACACAGTCAACTCACACTGCTCTCTTTCTCTCCATCTCTCGTTGAAAACACACCCAGCTCACAGACCTATCACAACACGTCTCTCTCTCTCTCCAAACACACCCATCTCACAGAACCCCTTTACTCAGCTCACAGAACCCCCTCCACACACACACAGTCATGCCACACACAAACACACGCATCTCTCTCCATCTCTCTTCGAGTCTCATTCTCCCTCTCTCTCTCTCTCTATAGTATCCCAAACACACACTCAACTCACACGCACAAACACACCCAGCTCACAGACCAATCTCACAGAACCCCCTCGCTCAGGGCACAGATCCCCCTCACTTAGCTCACAGAACCCCCTACACATACAGTCACGCCACACAAACACACTCAACTCCCCATCTTTCTTCAAGTCCCATTTTACCTCTCTCTCTCTATAGTGTC